TTTTAATCCACCTGAAAGCAGCCATGGTGCTTTACTGCTGCTGTTATTTTCACAAATGATTCAGTCTCTGATGTCGTTTCCTTTTAAAATAAACTCATTTGCATTTTTCAGTGACATCATTTCCTGTCAGTGACTGTGTCCTGTGTGTTTAACCGTTTATACTTGTTAAATTAGCGCCAGATATTGATGTTTATAAACTCAGAAATTTGGTGATGACAATAAGAGAAAAATTGAAAAACAACTTTTATATCTGAGGTATTTTAATCATTAATTTTTACTCAAACATTAAATCCAGGAAGCATAACTTTGATCAGCAAAGGAACTGAGGAAAGAGACGATGAAAAAACTTTTTGTTGTTTTTAGAAGTGATGAAGAGTGAAGAGTAAACTCACCTGAATTATTCTCCTGATGTTCGCACGTTCTGAAAAAGTAATCTTACTGAAACGAACTGAAATGTTTCTCCTCTCATGTCTGTTGCTTCCTTATTTTAACTTGAGTAATTTTTTCCTGAGAACTGAAGGGGAAGTGTTATTCTGAGAATGTGGCAGCAGCAGCAGAGAAGATATATTTGTCCACCTATGATCAGCAGCATTTGTGGTTAACACATTGATGGATGTCATTAAAGTTTCCATGACAACACAGGGTGATGCTGACTTCCTTATATCTGAGTGGTCAGTTTATGTTACAAAATCCACATCAGAATGGCTCCAAAAAATGTGAATAAGAAGAACATTGATTAAAATAATATCTTTATTCTTTAGTTTTTATTTGAACAAAGTAAGGAAAAAAAAATAAAACAATAATTATAATAATAATTCAACATTTGAATTAAGAAATGCACATTAATTCAACAAAATAAACAAGAAATATCTTGACACTCATATATCAGGATACAGATTTAAAATACATGCATAAATACATATTTAAAAACAATATGAAGGAACATTAAGCAAGAAAAGGAAACTGTATTAATCAGTGCACCTTAACTGTGCTGCCCCCTACTGGGGCCTTGGTGTAATTCCAATAGATTAACATAAATAATAAAGGTACTAAAGATTTGTTATAAATATTATGAAGGATTTTCACTCAGAGCAAAGAAGTAGACAAGAAACAGTTGGATATTTTTTCCAACAAACAGCCATGAAACCATTTTTATTTGTTACAAACAGTAGGAATATGAACTTTCTCTGTTTTTTTGACCACAATAATCTCATTAACAGCTGGTGCTCCCCCTGGTGGTCAAAGAGAGTCGTTTAGAGCAAAGACTTGATTCGTGGTCAGATTAAGGAGTTTGGACAGCGACAGCATTATTACATTACAATGAGTTAAACAACTTTTCAGTTTAAAATACATATTTAAAAAGTTTCATGTTGACCCTTGTTTATACTTTCCTTCATTGTTAAGATTTAAACTCCCCAAATATTAAACAAATGATGCAGTAAGGAATGTTGTGGGGGTCAGAAGCAAAAAAAAAGTTTTCAGAAATAAAGTTTCAGGCTAAAACTGACATGAAGAGATGTAACTTTTTAAGATAGTCAGTTTTTATATTATCATCTGCTGGTGTTAAATATAATGAGATATTCATCATGAGCAGTGCTCTAATTCCTGCTGGATGCTGATGCTGAAGTTGTTGATCAGTTTTCATAAACCTCAACACCTTCCTCGTCTTCTTCATGGTTACACTCCTGCAGAAAAAAAATACATAATCTGGATTAAAACTGGGCATGTAATTGGTTCTGTTTGACACACTGATATTGCTCACTTATTCTCTCTCATCATCATGACCAACTACCAGACCCTCCTACTAAATACATGGACAACCCCAGACTTTCCAGTCTGTTGGTATTCATTCACAGCCACCAGCAGCAGTTTCTATACCGGCTCTAAAACTGCAAACCTGGAGAGCCAGAATTCTGTAACTTTTAGATGTGTCCCTTGTCCTGCACACTTGAATTAATTTGTGAAACTGAATCACTATCATGCAGTCAAGCTCTACAGAGCTTCCTGCCAATGAGTTCATATTAGAGCCAGGTGTGCTGAAGAGGAGACATCTAAAGGCTGCAGGACGCAGGCCCTCAAAGACTTGAGTTTGAGACCACTGTTCTATACAGAACACAGATAATTGGTTATTATCATAGGTCTGTGAATCAGAATTGCTCGTTTAACACATCTCACACATTCTCAGTCATCAGCAGAAGTCATCCACTTCAGTGGATTAAGATTGTTCTCACACCTGATAGTCCAGTAGACTCAGTTGGTTTTGGGACCAAAGTTGCAGCATTTGTTAGATTTTCAGGTACTGTGGTTCAATTTCACGTGACTCTGTGTCAAATAAATCAAACTGTTTGAAAAACCTGCTCCCCTCCTCACTTATGGGGACGCTGCACCAAGAACCACTGAAGGAAATGATGTGAAAACCTCTTAATTAAAACTCTACCTTGATCCAGCAACTTCCTTCTTCATGAAACGTAAACAAAAATGGAGTAGCATCAGAATTTTGTCTCTGGCAAAAGACCATGAGCCAGTTCTCCTGCTAGAGCTAGAAACACAAATTTAATTTGGTTGCATTTACCCAGAATGCCCTGCACTATAGTCAGTTTAGCATTCACATATGCATTTGAACGCACCAGATTTTATTTCCTCTGAACCAAAGCCTAGTTATGGAGGTGGACCAGAGTTTGATTATGTTAACAAATCTAGATCTTTACAACTGTCTGTTCTTCCTGCATCCAGACATTGTCTCTAGCAAAATA